GATTCAAAGTCGGGCTGTAATCTCATTGGGGTCGTTTCTTATCATCATTGGGGACTGCATGTTTTCAACAGATCATTTTTATCTCATATCCAGTAGTTTTGATGGCAAATAGACACTGCTTTACTTTAACTTTTTTGTGTGGGCGTGTCCTTTTATTACGTTGGAACTTGGAAGTGGTATGTTGGTGTTGCATTTGTGACACTAAAAGTTGTACTTGGTAATGATACCAGGTGGTATCTTGAGAATGTGTTATTTCCTTGAAATAATCACCATTGTTTTGTCACTTGGTCTTTATCACATATTGGTATACACTAGAACATAGTAACAGGCTTGCCGATCAAAACATCTGTTCACGGCTTGTTCATCTTGTATATTACTTAAAACCAGATGGACACTGAGCCTGAATACAGAATAGTTTTTTTCATCGTTGCGAAATATTATTTTGCTTTAATCAATGTGTATATATATATATTTTCCATGGCTGCCAAACACCCCATCCAAATAAAACACAATCAATCTACGCATTATATTGCCAGATGCAACCCCCAAAAAAGTCGCCAAATGTGCAATTGAGGGTGGTGGAAATCTTGGACTGGGGAGGAGGAGATAATTTGATGAAGAAGAAAAAGAAGAAGAAAATAAATAAGAAAAACAAGAATAAAATGTCCATGAGAATTCTAAATGTATAAATTTGACATGATTAGTGTTGGACCACTAGAATTTTATGCTCCTTGTCCGTCTAATTTTATTATGCTCCCGATGCAACGCACGGGCAATTACCTAGTATATATAGAGAAGATTAATGAGATGAGAAAAAACTTTGGCCACTACTTCAAAAAATAAATAAAATAAGTGAATCTTCTTTCGCACGATGAAATGGCGCCATCTCAAGAAAATAAATAAATCGCAGGGCAAGACACGCGAAGCAACCGGCGCAAAATCCAAACCCTAAACCCCAAGAGGCGAAAATCCCATAAGTCCAGACAGAAGCGAGAGTCCCCCTTCCCAACCATTCCCTCCGTTACAGGACCCGTCAACACTTAAGAAAAAGTTTGACGACATCTTTTCTGCTACCCGGTACATGAATGCATTACTATTTACTTAATAATTTAGAAGCTGCGATCAAGGCCATAAATTTTCTTATTTGATTGCTGCAATCTGTTTAAGATGGGGTTAATCTTTCTGTGAAAGTGTGGAGCTGATGTCGAAACTAGAATCTCACTACCTTAATTTCCAAATCTAATGTACAGCTATACCAAAGCTCTCGAAGTCATAAAGAAACTTCAAAAGGACCAAGCACAGGAAATCAAGACTTTTAGGTTAAAGCTGGAGAACCTTCAAACTCTTAAAGATCAAGTATACAGGGTAATTTTTATCTTTTTTCTAGAATGCGCACAAGCATGCGTATCATACATGGTAATTTGTATCTTCATGATTGTAGAATTTTAATTTTTGTTGTGTTACTGGCTTACTGCCATGGGGGATATATATGTGATATACAAGTACATCCCTGTCATAAGGTGACAGTGATTCATTATAACACTTCACAATTCACATTACCCTAGTAGACTACTTCATTTCTGCTGCCTTTACTCTTTCGTTGTCATACTTCCCAGCTCATTTTCTACTAGATGAAAATGAGCTGGGAAGTATAACTACTAGGGTAATTTGAACAGATAGATCTTCAGTGCACAGCTCATTTTCTGCTGCCTTTACTGAAGATCTATCAGTTCTATACTTCCACTGCAGTTTACTTTAATTTTTTAGAAGGGAATGCTGCTTTTAATGCTAGTTTAGTTCCCTTACTTTCACAGCTTCGGGACAGTATTGCGCAAGATCAAGAGAAGTCAGATGCCTTAAAAGCTCAAATGGAGGACCTGAAAACAAACATCCAGGCTGTCGAAAACAAAATCCGTCGTACCGAAACAAGTATCATGGACTTGAGGAGACTTCAGGAGCAAATTAGCACCAAGGCAACAGCTAGAAGTACATATTTAACACTTCAGCAGCAACAGCATGCTGCCCTTTCTGAGGAAAATGAAGGTCAGCAATTCCTCATCATGCCAGTAATTCTAATGGCTCCTTTGCAGCATAGCGACAGTTTACCTTGCTTTATTTAGATACCGATGAGGAACTGAGGGAGTGGCAGACAACATTTGAAGAAAAAATTGCGCTACTGGATACAAAAATCGGTAAACTTGAACGAGAGATGAATGATGAATATACAAAAAATCTCTCTGCTATCTGAGACCATCAATGATTCAACACGTCAAATAGGGAAGCTCCAGGCAGAAGCTGATGTAATGCTGCAATCCTTTTCTTTTTGACTGGCTTGACCATTTCTTAAATAATAGTGGGCACTGTGGTACGATGTTAAATACAAATATGTTATTTTCAGGCTCACGTGTCGGTGAAGCACGAACGAGACTCAGCCATCAGAAAGATATTCAATAAACATAATCTCGGGCCAATTCCTGATGCTCCTTTTACTAATGCTATTGCCACGAACCTTACATACAGGACTAAAGCAAGACTATCGAGTCTCGAGGACGATTTGCAGGAAAAGAAGGTTATAATGCCTATTCTTCGTATTTTTTGGAATTTAGTCGCAAAAGTAAACACTTCCATTAGAACTTTCTGATTTTTTTAATAGTACTCAATATTTTCTAGGCAGTCATTTTGCTGCCTATTTTTGTTTGGCGTTTCAGCGTTCCATGACCATCTGATATGCTCATGCAAGGTTGCTTGCTTTAGCATACTTTATTATTCAAAGCATCTGTGCAAGTACATGGAATAAATTAGGAACGAGTCAATGCTGAAAACCTGCATTCTTATCATGTTGTCCCTTAGTAATCAAGTTCTTTTTCTTAAGCAGAAATCTAGTGAGACACAGTTAGAGTTTCTTTGGGGACGTTATCTCAAAGTAAACGTCCGCTACTCTGAAGTTGATGGCCAGATACAATCTAAGAAAGAATCTAAGGTTAATAATGGAGGACTTGCATGCATATGATATTCTGCAACTGATATATCATATACCATTTGTTGATATGATATATTAAACACCTTCCAGATAGGTGTTTTAAGGCGCATGAAAGATAAAGAGAATGAACGAGATGCTGCAGAGATGGAGCTTTCAAAGCATAATCTGGCCCGTATTGATGAAAGAGATCGGCATTTGGTATTTATTTGACCTAACTATTGTTGTCCATTGGATATATTCATCGATGTATAGCTTTACTTGGCTGGTCTGCAATTTTAATTTGTTCCGTCTCTAAGTTTAACATTCTTAATTCTAAATAAGTAAGTTGTCCCATTGTGATTCAAATAGCAAATTGAGGTTGAGAAGAAGACAAATGCCTTGGGAGAAAGAGACTATGATTTGATTATAAGTCAGAAGCGCCCAGAGATATATGCATTGGATCACAAGATAAAAACACTTCACCGGGAGAAAGATAACATAACTACTGATGCTGATGACAGAGTAAAATTAGAACTGAAGAAGGATGAATTGGAAAAGTGCAAGAAGAAACTTAAAAAGATGTACTTCTTTCCTTTCCCCTTTTAATTTCTATCTGTATTATGGTTCTAAAGTTGGTTATATTCCAATACCAATTCTTCCGTTACGAAGATTGAAATAACATGATTTATAAAATGCAGATATGATGAACATAAGGACAAATTTAGAAGTGTTCTTAAGGGGAGGCTTCCTTATGAGAAGGATGTCAAGAAGGAGATTACTCGAGCTTTTGGGTTCGTGTCACAGTTCCTTATTGATATGCTTAGTCGTCTCATGACATGTCCTATTTCGGCCCATATGATCAAAATGAATTTACTTATGTAAAGCTGTAATATATTGACTTTCTTCGATGCAATTGATCTTTTCTGTTCAAGCCATTGGTGGTTAGTGAAAACAGTAGTAGTATCTCTAATCAGGTACAGTTTGATCAACCATGTGCACATGTGTATGTATCCATTTTAAGCATGCAGGTTTGTTGTAAACATTCACATGGATGTGTATTTCAAGGGCCTAGTCTGTTAATGTGGCGTCTAGGCCTCCACATCCCATTCTTTCTTGACTAGTAATGTGGCGTCTAGGTATCCACATCCCATTCTTTCAAGACTCCATCCTGATACGGGAAACACAAAAATGTTGCACTTGACTCGACACACCCAACTAGCAATCTAGTAATTTGTCATGCTTTCATGCTGCCTTACAGATTATACCACATGTGGAACTTTGTATTCTTTTGCTACTGTTTGTTAATGGTACCACGAAACTCTGCTTGACTCAGGTTTGTAGACGCAGAATACAATGATTTGAGCTCAAAATCTCTGGAAGCAGAACAGCAGTCGAAATTGGCACAAATGAAAATTTCTGCTGCTAGAAGCCACTTGTCAAAGCTCCAAAAAGATTTGGACGGTAAAATTGGATATGACCACTGCATGCTTGCTTATTTCATAAGTACAAAGTTGATGATGCTTTCTTTGACATAATTTGACATGTAAAAGCTCCACTATGTATGAAATTTAGAAAATCAAAATCTGAGAGGTGCACACTATATCTCTCCTTTTCCTTTTAAGATGTACTTATCATTCCTTCATTTTGAGTTGGTACGTTGGGACGATGACAGATTCACTGCCAACTAAGTAGAGTGTATGCAGTTGAAATTGTTCTTTAGACAGAATTTCCCTGACCTACGGTTACATTCTTATCCAGAATAAAGTGAAAGTAATCAAAGTATGTGAAAGATCCATTTTGATTATCATCAATGTATTGGACAATGCACCACACTGGACTATTGGGCATGCTTGATTTTGTCTCATAGTGTAGTATGAACCTTCTAGTTGTTCCAACTATTACTACATAGAGATCAAGGGTAACCATCTGAATTCCATCAATGTTACCTTTCGTGCAGCAAAAAGAAACCATCTGAACTCGAAACTTCAACCCATTACTAAGGTATCTGTTGACATCAACACTTACCCCAAGATTCTGAAAGATGCCATGGACGACAGAGATAAACAAACAAAGTAGGTATCCATAATTGTAGCTATCTCTTTAAGCCACATCTTCTTTCGATGCCCGATTCAATGCTTTCTTCCTATTTGCAGTACGTACAATTATGCAAAGGGAATGCGGCAAATGTATGAACCTTTTGAAAAAGTGGCCCGCCAGCAGCACAAGTGTCCTTGCTGTGATCGTGTTTTCACACCTGATGAAGAGGACATCTTTGAAGAAGGTGGATGATTTAGTAAACATAGCTGCCTTTTTCGTTTGATTTAGAGTTACTTTGTGCTGGATGATTTCTTTCTGTTGATGTTGTTGTCTGGTGCATCTTTCCTTCAGCAAAGGACTACAGGCACAAGTACCGCAGAGCGCCTGAATGTACTGGCAATCGAATTATCAAATGCTGAAGACTTTTTCAATCGATTGGATAATCTCCGTGTGGTTTATGATGAATATGTGAAACTGGGGAAAGAGAACATAGCTTTAGCAGAGAAGGATTTGGAACAACTTTTGGCAGATGAAAGTGAGAAGGCGCAGATATTCAAAGACGTTAGTCATCACTCTCGACACCACTTTTATTTATTTATTCTCATACGCAAAATAAAGATAGAGACAGTCAAACATAATACCTTAGATGACCTGTGTTTCTTAGCTCTACTATGTGTCCTAATAAAGATTCTCCACTCCTGAGGCATAATTCTAGCTATCCTCTCTCTACGTCAAGTGTCAAGTTGTAGTAAATCGGTTTATACTCCCCCAGGTCCTTTTTACTCTGCACATTAGATTTCTCAGAAGTCAAACTTCATAACTTTGACCAAATTTATATTAAAAAGTTATCAACATTTACTGTATCAAATATATATATATATGAAAATATATTCTAAGATGGATCTAAGGATATTGATATTGTATTTTGAGTGTTAATAGTTTCTTGTATAAACATGGTCAAACTTCAAAGACTTTGACTTCATACAAATCTAATACGCGGAGTAAAAAGGACTGGAGGGAGTTGTACGGATGTACAAGTCCACTTGTGTAGATATTATGCTCTTTGGGAATAGGCCACGGAATGTTTCATCCTCTTCAGAGGGTTGGTAAATTATTTTGTTTGCAAATCTCCTAGGTCACATCCGTATGATGGTTGTTTGGGCTGTTCTTAAGCTTAAGCCCTTCGACAATGTGTGATGTTACTTTGGGTAATTGATATAATGGTCTGGTTGATAGCAGCATTGTCATTTGAGAAACTTACTTGAACCTTTTGCAAACACAGTTCAGGTCCGCTGTCTTATGAGAAATGGATTTTCACTTTGTCACCCAACAGTAAATGTAGTATCTATTTATAAACATAATTTATGACGTATTCTCTATTTTGCTCTGCTGTGACTTGTATGATTGACACGTTGCAGCTTGTGAGTGCTCTTGCTCAAGTTAAAACGGACAGGGATGGAGTCGAAGTCTTGTTACATCCAGTTGATACTATCAACAGGCATGTGCAAGAAATACAGGAGTTAGAACCACAAGTCAAAGATCTTGAATATAAGCTTGATTCTCGTGGCCAAGGTGTTAAATCTGTCGAGGAAATCCAGTTGGAGCTGAACTCTGTGCAGAGGGCAAGGTAATGGTTTTCGATTTACCCCAGAATTATAAGATCCTCTGCCTGGGAATTGAGAAAATAGTTCTTCAGGCAACTTAATTCCAGTAACCTTTGGAAATTAATAGGAACACTGGAATTATTACCCATGATCCATCCCAACCATCCCACATTATCCAACCAAACTTGTCATGTAGTGTATCGTTGCCTTTTTGTGTTCTCCTTTCCATTTCCATGTATATCTATTTATTGGTCAATGCTGGCCAGAAAAATGAACTAGAGTTGGCTAAAGAGCATTTGCATGTGTGTTTGACACTATGCAAGCCAGAGCCAAAACATTAGTCATTGACGTCCATGAGGCTCATACCATGCGCTACGGTGCTGAAGTATGTAACCGATGCCATACTCCCAAGAAAAGCTCGAATGACCTCAGGGTTGGCTTTGGTGATCAATCAAACATATGCGAAGTGTGTTCAAATGTTAAATATTCAATCTGTCACCCATGAAACAATTGAATTAGCTTATTCTTCTTACTTTTTTTATGACTTGCTATTGGAGGCTCAATATGCTGGTCTGCGTACATATCTTTCTGGCAGGGACACATTGATCAGTGAAGTAGACGATCTCAGGGATCAGCAAAAAATACTTAGCGAGGATCTGTCAAATGCTCAGATGCGGTGGCATGATCTTAGGGAAGAAAAACTAAGAGCCTCAAGTGTATTGCTGAAGTTCAAAAAGGCTGAAGAAGATTTGGTACTTTTTGCTGAGGAAAAAGAGCAACTGATCATAGATCAGAAGGTATTCATCATTCATTGAACCTCCATTTCTCTGGTTAATAGTTTCTCTACTGAAATACTGTACCAGAATGAAATCTCTGGGCCTGTCTGGATGTTGGAACTGAATTAGGCCAATGGGGTCTTCCATTCAATTTCAGGTTGAAATGGATTTGTCCACAATTCTATTTCTGTTGTTTGGATGACTTGTGAATTGGAGAGCATTAATACTGGACTCAATTCCAAATGTTTTTTCATATGGAACTGGGTAATATTAAGGGCCACCCACTAGTTTGATCAGTTTATAGCTCACTTGACCAACTTTGGGAAGTACTGGGTGCATGCAAATTATACTTGTGACAGATGGTCTAGAACCCTGAAGGCATGATTTCATTATTCTTTTTGTTGCACTCCTATGTAGTTTCGTGAGATACTTACCCAAAACCACCACAGTTGAGGCTGATGGTCTAGATTTAACCCTGAAGGCATGATCTCATTAATCTTTTTGTTGCACTCCTATGAAGTTTTGTGAGATATTTACCTAAAACTACCACAGCTAAGGCTAGGGTAACAACTTGATACCATATTTCAGTTAGGGCACGAGGAAGAGCACTCTGATAAGCTCACAAAAAGAGCAAAACTAACAAGTTAGCCCCACCTGTCGTGCTGATATGGCGAAGACAAATAAGTTTGACCGACTGATGTGGCAAATGAGATGCAGGCCCCACCTGTCAATGACTAAACGGTCATCTCCTTCACAACATTTTTTCTATGGAGCATTCCATCGAGCACCTTTTGTGCGTTCATCCTCTGGTCATTGAAGAAGGCACGCACGCCATGGGCACGCCCGAGCAGTGACCAGAGGAACGGCGGGCCGGACGCCTCCATCCCCGCCAGCTCACACTGCTCTTCCTGTCCTCCTACCAAGGCGGTGACCACCTTGCGGAAGCTGGCATACGCGGCGGCGCGAGCAAGTGGGGAAGGGGCGAGTGGCTCACCTTGAGCACGTATGCGTGCTCGGACGCGCCGACGCCAGGCGTGAAGAAGATGACCGTCGTCGTCCATGGCGAACTCGCCAGTGAACTCCGTCGCGCTGCCCGCCGCCGTCGCCGTGTCCAGGAGCCAGCGCGGGAGCTGCGCCTCCTCGCTAGCCCTGCCCGCAGGCCAGCACGCCGACGCCAGGGGTGAGGCGGCCCTGGGCTAGCTCGAGGAGGGCTCGGCTGCCGTGGCCATGAAGCTCTCGGCTCGGCCGTCCATGCCGGCGGGGGCGGCGGCGGGCTTCGAGGGTTCATGGCGCGCGGGGAACAGGCTGAGGCGGCCCGGGGCTAGCTTGAGCAGGGGCCCGGCTGCCATGGCCATGGAGCTCTTGGCTCGCATGGGCAGAGATGGCTCGGTCGCCCATAAGCTGCTCGATGCAATGCTCCATAAAATAATGATGCGATGAAGATGATCACGTAGTCAATGACAGACGGAGCCCACATCTCATCTGCCACATCACCTGGTCAACATTTTTTTGTGCTTGGTCTTTGCCACGTCAGCCCGACAAATGGGCCCAACATGCCAGTTTCGCTGTTTTCGGGAGCTTATCAAACAATTAGTGCTCTTCGTTATTCGTTAGGCGCAGATATGGTGGTTCCTCGTACCCTGGCTCGAATATTGTACCAAGTTGTTGTCCTAGCCCCAAACTGTGATGGTTTTGGGTAAATATCTCTAGTTTTATGCATCAATAACACTATTACTAATGCACTTGTGCACGATGACCTAATACATGCTAAATGTTTATTTCTTATGGATTCAGCATTTAGAAGAGGCTCTTGTTCCATTGTCAAAAGAGAGAGAAAGCTTGTTGCAAGAGCATAAAGCTTTGAAGGAAAGGCTTGACCAGGAGTATGATCAGCTAGCTGAAAGAAAAAGGGGATTCCAGCAAGAAATCGACGCACTTGGAACCCTTAACACACGCATCAAAGGGTATATATTTTTCCACTCCTTCTCTTTCAGTTTGTCCCACCTTTCCCACTTACTTTGACTAAAAAAATCCCTCTTAGGTACCTGGATGCAAAGAAAGTAGAGAAGCTTAATGAACTGCAGGAAAGGCATACCCTATCCCTGTCTCAGTTACAGAAATGTGAGGCAAGAAAGCAAGACATCTCGGTTGAGCTTGACAAGAGCAAACAGCTATTGCGCAGCCAAGATCAATTGAAAAGAAACATTGATGACAATCTGAACTACAGGAAAACAAAGGCTGAAGTGGATCGACTTGCTCATGATATCGAGTTACTTGAAGAAAATGTGCTTTCCATCGGCAGCAAGTCCACAATAGGAGCTGATCATAAGCGGCATGCTCAAGAAAAGGAGAAGCTTCTTTCAGAGGTATTGTGTCTCTCATTCCAAATAATTGACAAAGTTGCATCTAATAAATGCCATTATTTTCTTACCTATTTAGGGAAACATGAACATGCATTTCACCAGATAGTACATATATTATATATTTCTAAAGGGTAAAAATGCATGTCCGTTGTTCAACTTGCAGAGGTGTGTCACCTAGGTCCTGGTACTTCGAAAATGCATGCGTTTGTCCTTATGGTAAATTAGTGAGTCATCAGATGTCCTTGCTTAATTGACTTGCATACTGCACAGAAGATCTAAAATGAGGAATTTCATAGTACAAGTATCTAAGTGCACAAATTAGGAAGTTCAAGAACGCATCATGCATTTTACTCTATTTCTTAGTGTGAAACTTTATCACATATGGCTTATTTATCTTGGCAATCCCTACAGTATAATAGGTGTGAAGGAACAATTTCTGTTTACCAAAGTAATATTTCAAAGCACAAACTTGAGCTTAAACAGACACAATACAAGGATATTGAGAAAAGATATTTTAACCAACTTCTCCAACTTAAGGTAGGTGGCATGATCTTCCAGGTTCAGATTCTCCAACTTTCTGATCTTATTACTTGATAACAAAACTGATGTGGCCGCAGACAACTGAGATGGCAAATAAGGACTTGGAGCGATACTATGCTGCTTTGGATAAGTGAGTACCCTTTCACGGCAAAACGGCAAATCTGACCTTTCACTGAAAGTTGAGGCAAAAATGACCCCTCCCAGAATATATGGATGCTCCCTTCTACTAATAAATCCTTCTTTGGCCTTTTTAGTGCTTCATCTTAAACTTTCTTTACGATGGCACACTTGTATTTCTGTAGGGCTCTTATGCGGTTCCATACCATGAAAATGGAAGAGATAAATAAAATAATAAAGGAATTGTGGCAGCAGACATACAGAGGCCAATATTTTTTTTTTGAAAACCCCCTCCATGTATTAATTAACTTAAAATGTTCATACAATCATTCGTTACAAACTTTGCCACGCAGGGCGGAACAGAATGAAACATAATACCATCAGAACTATTATCAAAACTAAACTTTGCAATCTCATGAGCCACCATATTAGCCTTTCTGTTGATCTTAGAAATCTGTAAATTCACCAACAACTTTGAGACATCTACAGCTTCCTTCTTTAGATCAACAAGGGATGATCTGTCCATATATTCTTTACCAAAAACGGAGGCTACAAATGAACAGTCAGTTTCCAAAATGACGGGCATGTCTAGAGTCATACCAATATATAGGCCGGACAAGGACGCTCTAAGTTCCGCTTCCTCAACGCTGTAGCAAGTACCAATATAATCCCAGGAGGATAGGATCACTTGTCCATGGTGATTTCTAACAACCACCCCCATGCTCGCAGCTTTAATGGCCTCCACAAAACTTGCGTCGACATTAATTTTATAGACGTCTGGGGTAGGTGGCCTCCAAAGAGTAACCTGCCTCTCAATGTTATTGGTTGGCTGAAGATCCAACTCCACTTGCTTCCCCTTACTGCATATCTCCACCTGCATTTTAGCAAGACAAGACGAGAAAGATGCCCAATAATTTTCGACAAAACTTACCGAGGCTGAGATGGATTCCATTCCCTTACCAAAGATCAAATCATTCCTCAAGTGCCAAGCTCTCCAAAACATGAATATAGTTTGCTCACGAACAGGCGTAGTTAACTGGTCCAATAGAATAAGGAACCAATCCGGTCCAGAATATTTGAAGGTCTCCTCCGCTGGTAATTTCCAAACTTCCTTCAGAGCCATGCGGAACGCACGAGCCTTGGGACAAACCACCAAAGCATGGAAAATACACTCATCATCAATACCACATATTGAGCATGTACCTAGAATAGTTTGATGATGTTTAACCCTATTGAGTTGAACCGCCAAACTATTAGAAGCAGCCCTCCAGGCAAAAATTTTAATTTTTTGGGGGACATTAGCATTCCAAATAAAATTCCAGAGCCTCCTATCCCCATTTATGGCATCACTGGAATTGCCAGATACACTCCTCGGCTCTTTAAAATTCAGAGCTAGTCTATACGCACTCTTCACGGAGAACAAGCCACTTTTCTCGTGGTGCCAAGCAATAAAGTCTCCCTCGCCCACTCAAAGAATACGGAGCTTTAGAATTTCCTCTGCATCATGAATATAAAATAGATGCCTTATCAGGTTCTCATCCCAACTCCTGGTTGCACTAAAAAATAACTCGGAAACCAATTTGATCTTAGTTCTGCTCTTTTTACCACAAATTTGTAGGCCAGGTTCCCTAGGGATCCAATTATCCCTCCAAATATTTATACTAGTCCCATCGACCACTCTCCAAATAATGCCTTTTTTTAGCAATTCAAGGCCATGCATAATTCCTTGCCAAGTAAGGGAAGTAGCTTGAGGGAATACAGTATCAATAAGGTGCCCGTGAGGATAGTATTTAGCTTTCATCACCTTAGCACACAGAGAGTTCGGAAAAACCAAAAGACGCCAAGCTTGTTTCGCCAGGAGTGCTTGATTAAAAAGCCGAAGATCACGAAAGCCCATACCCCCTTCACTTTTTGGTCTCGTCATCTTATCCTAAGCCAGCCAATGCATTCTTTTCCTATTCTCTTCATCGCCCCACCAAAAATTCCTGATAATCTGGGATAACTCCTCACACAGTGAAGCGGGGAATTTAAAAATACCCATTGCAAACACGGGAATAGCTTGAATAACAGACTTGATCTGGATTTCTTTCGCTCCGCTCGAAGCATATTTTTCAATATAATCTGAAACCCGCTTGAGCACCTTATCTTTGGTGGATTGAAACTTACCTGCCTTCATACGACCTTCTGGAATAGGCAAGCCTAGATATTTATCCTCAAAACCATCAATCGTGATTTTAAGGATAACCAGGATAGACACCTGGTCTTCCATAGAACAATTTTTGCCAAATAATATGGAGCATTTATCCGGACTTAATAGTTGGCCAGTTCCCTCCTCATAAGCCGACAAAATGCCTTTAATATTCAGAGCTTGCTCCAAGTTACCCTTAAAAAACAGGAGACTATCATCAGCAAAAAGGAGATGAGATATACCTGGGGCATGTCTGTTTAGCCGGAACTCTTGAATAGCCCCTCTTGCCGAAGCATCATTAAGTAGCAACGACAATGCTTCAGCCACAAAGAGGAATAAGTATGGTGATAGTGGATCCCCTTGCCTGAGACCACGAGAAGGATGAAAAGGCTCTAACAGCTGGCCATTCAAACGCACAGCAAACTTCACAGTGGTAACACAAGACATGATCCACTTAATCCATGTTGGAGCAAAACCATACGCTTGAAGCATTCTTTCCAAGAAATTCCAATCGACACGGTCATACGCTTTAGCGAGATCCAACTTATATGCACAAAATTCACCATGGCTATCTTTTAACGTATTTAAAGAGTGCATACATTCAAACGCGATAAGTGCATTATCAGATATTGATCTTCCAGGGATGAATGCACTTTGGGTAGGAGAAATCATACCATCTAGCAGAGGTCTCAGTCTGTTGACCAGGCACTTAGAGATAATCTTATAAATCACATTACAAAGACTGATTGGACGGAAGTCTTTTATGGACTGAGGATTCTTCACCTTAGGAATAAGAACAATAGTTGTATTATTTATCCCTTCAAGCATAGTTCTAGAAATAAAAAATTGCTGGATGGCACGAACAATATCCTCCTTAAGCAGCCCCCAATTTCTTTGAAAAAACCTGGCACGAAATCCATCTGGCCCCGGGGCCTTTAACGGCCCTATTTGGAATAGGGCATCGCTGATTTCTTGCTCAGAAAATGGTTTACAAAGATCCTCATTCATTTGATCAGTCACCAATGGTTTCACAAGAGAAATGATACGGGACGGATTAACCACAGAATCACAGGAATAAAGATTCTTGAAAAAATCATTAGTGATACCTTTTATTTCATCCATATCCTGAGAGAGAGACCCATCTCTTCTTTTGATGGCAGAAATATTATTTTTCTTCGCTCTCCAAGTGGCCTTCCTATGAAATTTTTTTGTGTTCCTATCTCCCCATTTCATTTTATTCAGACATGATCTCTGCTTCCACATAATTTCTTCCTTTAACAGGAGCTCATCCATTTCCTTTAAAATTTTCTTCCTTTCTACTATTGCTTTATGATCACTTCTGTTAAACAACACACTTAGTCTTTTGTGAGCAGATTCAAGTTTTTGTGGCAAATATCCAATGTGAACCTGACTCCACCCATGAAGAGACTTCATCAACTTGTCCAGGTTATTGGCAACATCTCCCAGATTATTGACTCTAACATTATTATTCCAACACGAATCAATCTGTACTTGCAGCTCCGCATCTTCCCTCTCCCAATACGCTTCATATTTCAAATGTTTAATAAATGTGCCAGAACGAGGAGCTCCCATCAATTCAATAAGAAGAGGGCAATGATCTGACCTGGAACTGATAATATGCGTTACCTTGCAGTCAGGAAAGATAGATGACCATTGGGGGCACGCCACCGCCCGGTCCAGCCGCTCCTTCACATTCTTGTTACCTTCCTGCTTATTGTTATAGGTCCAAGGAACTCCATGAAAACCCAAATCAAACAAGTTGCATTCAGACATGATCTCACGAAAATTAGCCATAAGTTTTGGTGACCTTTGATCCGAGAAAAATGTTCATCTTGTCACATAGCCTCATTAAAGTCACCAGCCATAAACCATGGACCCGACCCAAGAGGTTTTATACGCCTTAACAATTCCCACATAACATACCTTTGGCTCGCCTTCGGCTCCCCATAGATAAAAGTGCATCTCCACTTAGTGCCAGCATCGTTGGAAATGTACATGTCAATAAAATGTTCCCCATATTTGTTTAACTCCAAAGTGTACAGGTCATCCCAATAGACCGCTAATCCACCTCCTTTGCCTGGCATAGAAACAGCAAAAACATTTTTCATACCCAAGCGGTAGCGCAAACTCTCAACATACTCTTTATTTTTTCTTGTTTCAGAAAGAAAGATAATGTTAGGCCGGTGTGTCTTTGAAAGGCACACAAGTTCTTGAACTGTTCGAGGCTGACCTAAGCCTCGGCAGTTCCAACATATCATTTTCATGGCTCCTGACGGGCGTCATCAAGTGCGCCCATCAGTTGACCGGCAGCCCCAGGGCCGGTAGCTTCCTTGCTTATACCCCCAATTTCCTTACCATCGCCTACGGACTCTCTCCTATTTTGATCCTCCTCCTCTCCCACAACTATCTCCTCTGTAATATGAACAGTGGAGCCTTCTATGCCTACTACAGATTCAACTCTCTCAACACACACACTTTTACATGTCATACTCATATCTAGAGCACCCTAAACTCTATGCTATTAGTACTGGAGCTATTCATGCTAAGAACCATGTCCTTGTCTTCATCCGGTGAGCGCCTCTTGCTACCAGCCGTGCCCTCAAGCATTGCAGCAAAGGCCGCCTTGCCGCCGGAAAGATCGCTGCCGCTGTTCGGCGGAGTGGGGATGCCAAAAACCGCATGTTTAACACATGCGGCTTGCAGCATAACCTTCTCGTCCTGTTCTTGTCGGTGAAGCCTTTTCCACCGCTGGACTCCAGCAGAAGTGAGGGCTTGCCATTGGGCGCCAACATCAGCACCATCGTCACGACCATCCTTGTGAATGGCCACCTGAACCTGAGCTTCGCCCTCAAGCCGCTGCAGCTGCACGCCCACAGCAGCAGCAGAAGCCAGGGTCAGCTGGTGCCCCGGCTGTGCATGCACCTCAGCAGTTGCACCCCCAGCCTGCTCCTGAGGCCGCTGCTGCATAGGAACATCAGTAGCATCACTCGCCTGGTCTTGGATCAGAGCCATAGAGGCCCTAGCAGGATCATCCAAATTCCTCTTGTGTCCACCTCCATCCGCAGGAGATGACCCAGGGGTGACCAGGTTGATGTTGAGGCCCCCCCTAGGCACATGAAGTTGAGGATGATCAACTTGGCTTGCCACCAACTGGTTCGGGGGCGCCGGCAACCCCTCCTGGGTACCCGCATCCCCCGCCACCTTTCCCGCAACATCTGAAGAAGGACCCGAGCCTGCCGCAGCCACTGAAAGGTTGCGCACAGCCTTGGAAACCGCCGAAATGACTCTGTCCGACAACTTTGCCCCGGTGCTTCCGAAGTCGAGGAATCATGTCGATGGAGAAGTTTGGCTTGCGCAGTTCCTTTGGCATGCTGCAGAATCTTTCCGTAGTGTGGCCCAGGATGCCACAACAGAAACAAAAATTTGGAAGTTTCTCGTATTTCACCTTAAACGTGATCTCGTCCTTGCTGCCGACCGGAGTGAACCCAACTTCCTTCTTCAGCGGCGTGTCCACCTTATGCTCCACTCGAATGCGGAGATGCTCGTCAAGGATCATCTTGTTCCGGTGGGACACCGCGATGACCTTGCCGAGCTTCTTGCCGAAAGTCCACCCCATCTCCTCGGTCTTCAACACGAAGGGCAGCTTGTGGATTTGTGCCCACAATCTGATGGAGTTGAGGTCGACCTCCGCTGGGTTGCCCTGGCCGTCGAAGTCGGCGAAGATGACGACGTCGTTGTGGAAGTGCCAAGGACCAGCAGCCAGGACATGCTGCCGATCCCCCTCCTCCGTGAACTCCACCACGAAGCGTTTGTCGATGCTCGTGACCATCTGGGCCCTCGCATCACCACGAAGCCGCCAGGGTCCTTTGAGCTCGTTGACGACGGCCGAAGGATTGGCTGGGTACGGGGAGAGCACTCGCCCCACAGCCAGCTTTCCCTTGACCGCACTCACCATTGCCTCCATGTCGATGACGATTGGCGAGTCATCGAACTCGACCATCTTGGCCTTGCCATGCCTGCGGAGAGGAGGAGGGCGCTCCGAAGCAGAAGTGAAGCCAACGGAGGGGTTCGGGGGAGTGGTCAGGGCTAGGCCTGACGGACCCCCGACATCACTCCTTCCCTTTCCGACCGTGGGCGTGGCTGGGGTCGCCGTTGGCTGCATTGCGGCCGGCCCTTCCTCAGGGGTTCTGGACCCAGCACCACCATCACCCGACCCAGCAATGGTCAGGTTCATCATTCCTCGACCTTGATCCTCGCCTTGGCCTGCCATGGACAGAAAGTACAGAGCAACAGAAGAAACTGGTATGGAGCAGAACACTGTAGACTGAAGAAAACAGAGCCGACCCCCCCGCAAGAAATAAGCTTGGAGTTCCTCAAATTTCGCCTCCAATTTAACAGGATTAACTCCCCTGTTAATTCCTTTAGCCTCGTCCGGCCTCATTCCTGATCCCCTTTTGAAAATCAAACCAAACCCATCAGAAACGGCCCCCCAAATCCTCCTCATTACTCACCGGATTTGAAGCCTGGACCCTTAATTCCGCCGGCTGGATCGCCGCCCCTTGTCCCGCATCCGTACCTCCGGTCATCTCCCTTTTCAATTTAGCCGCATCCAAATCAGATTTGAGAAGCATCGCAGCCCTGCTCTGCATCCGCCGCAGTAACTTCTGCGGGTTCCTCGCTCGGGAGAGAAGGTCCCTTCCGCGCGCCTTGAAGGTGCTCCAGTCCTCAACGAGGAGGCCACCCACCCCTTGCCGCTCATCGCGGCCGCCGCCGGCGGCGGCGCCTCCATGTTGACCCGGTCGTGGGTCGCCTCGGCTATCGCCAGAGAGCCTGATGTACTCCATACGGCCAAGATATTGATTGCATAAGCATCAGTTCTGACTCCGAGGGTGCAGGCACTCGATCATATAGCTATCGTGTAAGTTAAATTAGCTACACGTTTGACGATCCGAGTTGCTTGGACCGCTGTTACATTTGCCTGCTTGAACCATCTTGTAGGTTGTCATGCAAAATGGTGGTGCTGAGCTGGAAATGCGAGGGCGATGCAGTGCTGGCCAGAAGGTGAACTTTGTTTTGTTTCTTTTGTCATCGTAAACTTCGGTTGCTGTAGTAACATCTTCTTTGCAGTCTTGTTTGAACCAATAACTGTGTTCGAATAATGGTAGCACGACCTTATGAATCTGTTGAACATGGAGAATCATATCTCAAAGTTATCTCCACTGCTGTTCAGGTTCTTGCTTCTCTTATAATCAGACTGGCACTGGCAGAGACATTCTGTCTGAATTGCGGCATATTAGCTCTGGATGAGCCAACCACCAATCTTGACGGGCCGAATGCGGAGAGCCTAGCTGCTGCCCTATTGAGGTAAACCTTAGGCATGGCAATTATATTATCATTTTGGAGCTTATTTTACCATTAACTGAGTCTCTTGTGTGTGCCATAGAATAATGGAAAGCAGAAAAGGCCAGGAGAACTTCCAGCTGATTGTAATCACCCATGATGAGCGGTTTGCTCAGCTTATTGGTCAGAGGCAGCTTGCCGAGAAGTACTACCGAGTTTCCAAGGATGAGCAGTGAGTTCACACAGTTTTTTCTTGAATCTTTTTCATGCCTCCGGACTTCCAATGTTTGCGCTTTCGTGCAAGCAAGCCCTCAAAGGATGTTCGTCGGAATTCTGGACAGTTTTAATCCTTGGGAAATTCTCCTAATGATGATTCTTTGATTTGTAGGATCGTACACCACAGGATTTTTCCTAAGCATTCCACTGCACTGCATTTAATAGAAAAAATACCATTGACTCAAACTTCTTGGGAAAAAATACCATTTGACCAGGAGTATGATACTACAATCAAACAAGCATTTCTGCAAATTCAGTTCTGTAGGATTCAAAATGTTTGCATGACATTGCAATTCTGCATTTTTGCGTTTTTGTTCAGAATCGTGTGGACGAGAGAGTGCACGCATAGCTGTTGATATTATTTGGTTTCTTACCTCGAATATTCATAAATGGGTGCTGGATCTAAAAATTTGGCCTGTGGAGTAGAATAAGATGAAGATATTCAATCTCACAGTATTTGGTTTTCCGTGCTAATGGTGTACCTTTGACCGAACCTTGCAGACAACACAGCAAAATTGAATCCCAGGAGATATTTGACTGACGATGATTTCTTGGTGCATATATGCTCTTAGAGCTAAATCTGTTTACCGGCCAAGCGGGCGCGGTTCAGTATGATGATGGGCTGTCATGGAGAGAAATGGGTCCCAGCGAACGAGCGTGATATCCGACTAGGTTCATTAGTTTGGTTTCTGTGCATGCATGCAATTGGCCGTTTTTTGTTGTCCATAATCTGAAGGTGGTACTGTGTTGTCTCTTTTTATTCTAAAATTGACTCCTTATGCAGCCTCTAAACAAGCGAAAATGGTCCGTGGAAAAATGTGCGGCTGCTTTTCTTCCGCCGAGCGCTAGCAGCGAAAAGGGAGACCTTTATTTTCTTTTATCGTCAAAAATATTTTCCCGCACTTCAAAAAATTCTGAAAAGAGTTCACACACACGCGCGTATTGTAGAATAACTATTTTGTACGCCAGTTTAGAACGGCAGCAGACTAACCTGAAATTGTATAACGTAGAAAGTTGTGAACTGCTCGTTGGATGAACCGTTTTTGTGCGTTTTCGTCGGAATGATGCATATGTTATGCCATTGGAAAGATATGGACCAATTTTTTACATTCCTTTTGTTTAAGGAATAGTTTTGAAAGTGGCGTGAACCCCGTCGAGTGGCATAGAGCATATTTTGTGTTTTTGTTTCATATCACTTCTGGAAATGATGCAAATGATGTCAATAAGACAGAACTTATTCATGTAGAGTCTCCAAATTCCTTACGGTTTAACGAACATTTTCTAATACACATTTCTGATACATTTTGAATACACAATGAATATTTTCTAAACAACCGACTAACATTTTTTCAATACACAATAAACATCGTTAGAAAAACATGATGAACATTTTTCATGATGAACATTTTATAATACACTAGGAACGATTTTTGGTACATTTTGAATACACAATGAATATTTTTTAAACAACCAACTAACATTTTTTCAATACACAATAAACATCGTTAGAAAAACATGATGAACATTATAAAAAACCGAGTTGGTGATAATGGTGTGCCTGCCATCTTGCAATATAGACCGTCCGATCTATATTTAACGGATAGAAAGCAAACTATGACAATTTTGCAAAAAGATACCCTCACCTCTCTCCACATTTGCAGATAAGACCTTCCTTCGTCCATCCTTTTCTCCCACAACCTCATTGCTGATTAAAAAATGAAGTCTCTAGAACAATCTGGCATGGTGACCGCTGCCGGCGTCGTCCATCCCCATGGCTCCGCTCAGTCCGATCACCAATCACCACCACGCCCCACTCATCCTCACCTTATCTCTCATCTTTCTCGAGATATAATTAGTTTTTACACATGAGATTACTCCCGCATGGGTCAATCACAACATGTGTTTTATAAAAAAAACATCTTGATGTTCCGTGCAATGCACGAGCATCTTGCTAGTATATTATAATACACGACGAATACTTTTTAATACATTTATAATACATCACTCATGCACTTGCCTAAAATCTCTCCTCTATCCAGTCCCTGAAAGATACATGACATGGGGATACCCTCCGGTCCATTAGTTCTATCCCCACTAATGGAACATGGCATGAGGATACCCTCCGGTCCATTAGTGCTTCACTTGTCCAACCTTCGAGTAGCCCATCTCTAAAAACGAAGGAAAAGACTGCATTGTTTCAAAATTTTCCTACGAAGGCCTCGGGTCCTGATGCCTTCTCAGCTCACTTCTTCTAGAAGCACTGAGATATTTGTGGAGATGGGGTGACGAAGGTAGTCCTGCAATTTGTGGAAGACGAAGAGAGTGCTTAGAGCATTAACAAAACTTATTTGGTTCTTATACCAAAGGTAAGAAATCCTACCTCATTGACCAGGTTTCACCCCATTAGTCTTTGCAACATGCTCTATAAAATTGCATCCAAAGTTGTTGCTAATCAGTTGACAGTGGTACTTCTTGAGATCATCTCATCGCAACAGTCCGCTTTTGTTCCTAGGCGTCCCATCACAGATAACACAATTGTGGCCTACGAGTGTTTGCATTTTATGAAGCGGAACAAAGCTCTGAAACACCATCATTGTGCGTTTAAGTTGGACATGATGAAGGCATATAATAGAATTGAGTGACCATATTTGGAAGTAATAATGCTGAAGCATGGTTTCTCTAACATATAGGTTTCTATAGTAATGAGTATGGTTAACTCCGTCACTTGTTCATTTTTATTCAATGGCAAGAAGCTTGACGAGTTCAAACCCACCAAAGGTATTCGGCACGGAGACCAAATTTCACCCTAATCTTTCTTGTTAACAGCATAGGGCCTCTCGGGCCTCCTCAAATCCAGAGATCAATTGTCTCGGCTCAATGGAATCTAAGTTGCTCAATCGGCGCCGCCTATTAACCATTTGTTGTTTGCAGATGATAGCCTGCTTTTTTTGAAGGCAAACATTCAGGGGAGACAAAGGTGTCAAACCTTCTTGAGTCTTACTCTTAGGCTTCCGGACAAAGCATTAATAATAGCAAGTCTTTGGTGTATTTCAGAAAGGGCTGCCCAACAAATGTTAGATAAGAGGTTAAAGCACTCAATGTCCAAACACAAACTATGAATGAAAAATACTTGCGAATGCCTTCTAATATAGGTTCTGAGACCATCTTAGGAAAAGAGCGACATCAAACACTACCACATGAGATTCAAGGACAGTGTTGGTCCCACTAGGATAGTCAACACATGAGTCCCACTAGGACTCCACGACCCATGATCTACTCATCCCAAGACCCAAGTTCAGGTTGGATCACATCCGACCTGCAAAGTTGGATCTGACCTCATGGGTTCCTTTCTTTAAGCACACAACCATTAGGTTCATATAGACATGGTCGCGAGTTAGATTCACATCCAACTCGACTAGCTGATAGCTGCTTCTAGAAAAACATGTAAACTCCAAGTGTTCGATGAACCCGATCTGGTGAACCAGTACAATGTGTGTTCCTTTTGGCTCATGATATGTTGTCGGGCTCAAGGTGAATCGGTCATTCTTGTGCAGCCCAACTTCTTTTTCGTCATGTGATGCCAACACCCGAAACCGGATTAACACTTAATCCATGTCACATGGTCATGCTTATTCGAGTCGGATCACATGAGGGGTCCAAAGTATATCTCCCCAAGTCGGAGGGGGCAAATCATTTCTTAATTCGCCATATCTCATGGCATGAGTTTGTACCAGCGCAAAACCGAACTTTATAACTGCTCAATAATGGAGTAGCGTTTGGTCGGCCCTATGGTCGGCCCTAAGTAGGTTGGTCATCGTCTCGAGTCCATGCATCGACCTCAGGTCTTGGACACATAACACATGTCGTACTTGAGACTGGTAGATGAACTTTTGCTGGGTCCCATCGTTGGGTCTATCCGACATGACAAGTTATTTGAGTCAGTTCGGACTTCAAGGAGCTAACCTCAGATCCCTTCAAGTCCATGCTATTCGGCTAGAATCTAGTGCTACATGGCCAGTGAGATCAAGCTATCTACTATGTTGTATGACAGTCTAGCCGGGTGCGAGTTTGGTCTCATCCTTCTACTGACTAGGGACCTTTTAGAAAACACCATACAATACATAGTCTCACATACAAGTCACACACTTTTCAATATATATTACTGATAGTGTTTAAGTACTATATTAGTAACATCGTAAACAAACAGAAAGTTCATTCGACTTGATTGCCTCTAGGGCATATTTCCAACATATAACACTATGAATGACCGTCAACCAACCATAAAATAGACAAATTAGGTCAGAACAATACATGAACAGTAATTTTTTTATAGACCCTGTCTTTTTTGCCGAGAGCTACTCAGATGTCCAAATGATCTGAAATTTGGAGTGCACCTCACGCATCAAATTATCTACCATGCAAAGAAAATTGGAATTTCTTAATTTTTTCTAGCATTTGTTTAAAAAAATCCTTCATTGCAGGTGCAGATGAGCCTGGGCACCGAATTGCTGCTCTCCATATACACCTGCTACTTATTCTTTCCTGACCCTTTCTTCGTAAAAGACTCCACTACAGAATCCACCTCTTCCTCTATCTCATCTATCTGCATTGAATCAAGAGAATTATAATTAGTTTCATAAAAATATGAACCGAACGTCTTCACACACAATCACCTAATGTTGTACTCAATGTACCGTTACTAATTACTAGTTGCCATCAAATGCCAGTCAACCCAAAATAGTTCTACTTTACTTTTACACTACCATAGACAACCCCATCTATGACCCACTAGAATGCTCAAATTTTCATATAAATTTAGACTGGATACATTGCATAATAATGCAATACTATCACATTGAACATAAGCATATCATATGTAAACACTACAATGATCTAAAACAAGATAAATAAACTACCACTACTCCTCATCAGAGGAGAGCTCTATCACCGTGGTGCCGGA